ATTATATATAACAAATTAATTTACAGTAATTCTACTTTTTAATCTTCTCTATAATATATATCCCATTTACCAACTTTTTTACCATTTTAGTATCCCCCTTTATGGGTAACTTAACAACCACTAAAATTCCTGATAAAATCAAGATACCTGTTAAACTTATCGTCAACAAAAGTCCACTTGCCGACCTTAACTCCCCCTTCTCCTTACAAGTTATCATATTAACCCCCTCCGCTAAATTATTCAGTATAAATTAATTGACTTACATCTTTTTTAATTTACCATTCCATCTCCAATGCATTAACCATCTGCCAACTTTTTTTCCATTAGTATATTCACCTTTATAAATTATTTATCTGCACCTAATACAATATAATTAATCTAATTTACATCTAGAATTAATCACACAACACAATCCAGTTTCCATTTTTCTCAATATTATCTTGCTAATTATCATAAGATCCGCCACCTCTATAAAATAGAAATAGTATTATACATCTAATAATTCTACATATTGAAATCATCAATAAAATTGTTATCCCATTTACCAACTTTTTTACCATTCCTATATACACCTTAGAAAGTGATTTAACCATATCTATAAAACCAGGAATAATAATAATCATCAATTTAATATACTTCCAAAAATCACGACTCAAATCAATCCATAACCCTATTTTAATACCTTAACATCCATTTTTATCAATATAGATTCCACCACCGCTAATAAGAAATTTTTTATATTATGAATTGTACATCTGTTTTCTTTTCTACTGAAAAATATTTTCTTAATAGATTTGCCAGAGTCCAACTTTTTAACCGTCTTTATATTCACCAATTTAAATAATTTAACTCTAACTTTAATAATAAATAGTTTCTAATCATGTACCTTCTGAATTTATCATCAGGTTCTTACCATTTTCCTCTTTTAATGCTATCTCCTATTGACTAGATTTCAAATGATCCACCTCCGCTAATAAATGAGTTAAAATAAAAGTTTACATATATATGTTGTTGTCCATACATAAATCTTTGAAATAAATATCCCATCTACCAACTTTTTTACCATTCTAATATTCACCTTTGTAGGTAACTTAACTAAAACTAGGAAATAATAAGTTATCGGTTCAAAATTATACTCATAAAACCCATCACTAATCTCAATCCAGCTCCCTATTTTAATTCCTTTCTTATCTGATGATTACTCATCATAAAAACCACCACCGCTGATTTAATGATTTAGAATAATATTTTTTACATTTATATATCCTAGTTAACATTTGAATCTCTAAAAATAATATCCCATTTACCAATTTTAATACTATTTTTATATTCACCTCTATATGTAATTTAATTAGAACTAATAAAGTTGATTAAATTCTATTACTCATAAAATCCATCATCTAATTCAATCCATTTACCTTATTTAATTCCATAACTGCTTTCTTAATATCCATATTGTCCACCACCACTAAAGTAAGGTTTGGATTTATTTATTACATTAGTTTTCCCGAAACGAGGATATTCCAACGATTAATTTTTTTACCATTTACATACTTCCTACTATAGGTTACTTAACTTTTACTAAAATGTATAATTAAATTCAATAAACAAACTTCCAAAATCCATCACTTAATTCAATCCATTCACCAATTTTTGTTTCTTCTTCTCCTTATCGATTATTGTCATATGATCCACCTCCACTAAATAGTCTAATGATTCATTTTACATTTTTATAAATTATGAATCTTTTTATTCTCTCCAATTAATATCCCATCTGCCAACTTTGCATCCATTTATATAGTTCCCAATAAAAAGGATTTGGCTCTCACTTTTTAATAATTATTGTTTATACTCCCAAAAGTTTCTGCTAATATCAATCCATTTGCCAGTTTTTTCACCAAATTCGTTGTATAATCCTCCACCTCTAAAAAGGAATATTATTTAAATACATCTCTTTATCTTCATATATATACTTCCATTTTCCTCTTTTATGATCATTAAAATATTCCCCAATTTCATATAATTTTGCTCTCCTTCATATAATTATTTAAAATTTACTTCCAATAATTTTTGATTAATTATTTCCATAGACCTTATTTTAATCCGTCTTTTTAATATGATCCCCCAACATCTTTAAGAATTTCTCCATTCCAAACGAGATACCATAATCCTATTTTTTTTTTATTCTCTCCATATTTCCCTTGCCATTGAAGATTTTCTATTTAATCTAAATTTCTAAGCACATCTGGTTTCTTAGAAATGTCTAAAATTGAATCTCTAAATTTAGTAATAAAAAAGGACATTCTTAAAATTGAGCCATCCAATGAATAGTATATGATTTCTTTATCTTTTGTAAAGGTGATTTTTATTTTAAATTTGAAAAATTTACTTATAAAAGGATCCCAAGTGAACTCTTCATTCATCTATGTTGCTTCTTACCATTAAAAGTTTTCAATATTTTGTTTCTTGTATTAACCATTATTGTTTTGAGCATATAAGCATTCTTACTAATGTATATAATTAAACTATTTTGTTACTTTCGATTGATTGTTATTTCCCATTTTGCTTTTTGTTAAATTATTTAATACTAATTCAATAACAATTCTACTTTTTATTATCAATTGTTTTTAATATCTTTGTATAATAGATTTATCTAAAAATAACAAGACTATTACAAAGATAATTATAATTTTTACAAGGACTCTTACTTTATAAAATCATGTTTTTTTGCAAAATTATTGTAGCAATATAGAATTATATTTTATTCTATCATAAAAGTTAGAGTATTATATTTAAAAATTTATTTGAGTAGTACGATAAATTAATTTAATTATTTTACTCTATTAATTTATTTATTGCGATGTCTCTCCATTTTTATTTTTACGAATATTCAAAGCACGTTTTTTTTTATTTAATTCAGTAATTTAAGAATTTGATGTTTATCTAACTTCAATTTACTTGAGATGTGAAATAAGGGTTATTTATAATTTAAGAAATTATGATAAAATCAAAAATTTAATCTAAGAGAAATAATTTCATATAATTCTTGAAAGCTATTAAAAATAAAATTCGGCTGTTATACATGAATTCTTTTTTTGATAAGAATCATTTCTTTAACATTTATAATAACAATTTTCAATTGAATAATTTTGGATACATTATTTTAAATTGAATGTTTAGAATCTTTTAAATAATTTCCTGTAAGTCAAAAAATTATCATGTCCATACTTAGGCTTTACTTCATGATTAATTAGATAAGTATTTGAGTTTTTTACTATAAGAAATTTAAATAGTATCCAAATATGTTTAAATAGACAGTTAATTGCTGAATATAATAATTTAAATTAATAATTTCCAAATTAATCAATTACAATCTAATTGATAAATAATTCTCTATCATTTTTGTATAATTGTTATAATGAAATTGATCAGCAAAAATTAATTGATATATAACTATTAAGTATTTAGTTAAATATTTAATTTCAATAAGTTAAATGTTAGCTCCATTTAGAGTTAGCTTTAATATTATTATCTAATTAAAAACCAGTATAGCTATTTAAAACAAATTTTTACAAATTTCTCATAATGATTTGACTAAAATTAATTAGCTTATTGCTTTTGAGTTTTATTATTAATTTCGTTCACATAAATTGTAAAATTAATGTTTGAATTTTTGATTTAACTTTAAAAATACCTGATATCACAACTAGCATTCTTCTCATATTAAGAGCAAAGTTAATTTGCATTTTTTCACTTAAAATTGTTTCTTTTATCAATAATATTTATAATATTGTTCAAGACTATAAAAAAGGACACCTAGTGATTATAGAGAATAGAAGAGCAGGTCGGTTGATTCTTTAAACTTTATAAAAAATTCTATCAATTTTTTTTGTTGAATTTATCGAAAAAAAGGTTGTAATCTAGATCATTTTAATTATTAAATTTAAAATTATTTTTCAAAATCAGAGGAAAATTAGGAAAAGTTTTCCAAATCGCCAAGATTATTGATATAATTTTAAATTAATTAGTGAAATTATTAATAAGTAAATTTTAGTAGGATGTAGGTCCCAAAATAGAAATATTGAAAGATTATGGATTTTATATTTGACATAAACCTATCAATGAGAAAATTGTAGAAATTTTTGAATAAAAATAATTAAATAGTTTGAATTCACTTAGCATAAATAATGAGTTTAATCTACTTAACATAAATAGCTGGGATACAAAGAAATTTACACAAACTTGTTTTGTGAAAGATTTTCAAATAAATACTCTAAATTGCAGTAGTTTAAAGACTAAATTTAATTAAGAAATAAAGAAAACTTTCAGAATATCGGTAGAAAATGTTTATAAATTGAAAATTTAGTTCATAAAAGAAAGATGTGAGATAAGAGAAATCGAAATTAAAAATACCCTACAATTAAATTGATAGTCTTAACTTTAATTTCATTAGCTCTGCCATTTTATAAAGAAAAAATATGAATTTATATTAAAATTAGGGATACAAAAAAGATCCAAAATCATATTCTTTTTATATTAATGAAAATATTAAATTATTAAAATGCCTTTATCAAGTTAATATTAAGTTTTTGGGTTGAATTTAAAAACTTAAAAAGTAAGTTGGAATTTCATAATTTCAAAAATAGAATTGTTTTTAACTCATTTATGAAATCTTCAGCCTTCAAAGAGAAAGTTAATGTATATAATTAGATAATCAACGAAAATTTTTTAATTATTATTGATTAGTTTAGGGTATGGTTGAAAGAATAATTATATTAAAGTTTTTTAATCTAAGTAATAATCCTATAGCTAATTTTAAAAATTCAAATTAAAGTTAAAACCTCAAGATTAAATTTTAATAATTGTTTTGAAAAATCTCATATGAACTCAAATTTAATGGGTATCAGATTATTTAGTGGTTAAAATTACATCAGGAAATAGATTAATTTTTTAAATAAATACATTGAAGTTAAAATAAAAGATTTAGAATTGATAAGAGTATGGTTTGTATATAATTTAATATCATTAAAATCACGCCAATAAGAATATTATAATAAGGTAAAGTAATTTTGTCAAATAAATTAATGATACCAAGCAATTAAGAGATCTCAAAATATGAACTATACAATCCAAAATTAAAGAAATTTTCAGCATATATAAATGAGTTTTCAATTTAATTAAAAAATAGATTTAATGAATAATTGCTTAATTTTACTAATTCAACTTGTTAAATTATGGAATCTATAATCGATATTAAAAAATAAGTTAGATTAAGCTCAAGCAATGCTTCATTAATATATTTTAATTAAACAACAAATAATTTCAACTTAGGAAATTTAATTTTTACTTTTGATCCATATAATCAAACTGACAAATAGTATGAAATTGAAATTTACTGCAAAACCTAAAGTTTAATTAAGGAATTATCGTATAAGATAAAAGTATAAAGCCTAATTTGTTAATTAGGAGAATTTAATGTTTTAAATGGTTGTTTGACTTGTTAATCTACATAAGGGTTTTATTCTGTTACATACAATGCTACAAAGTGTTCAATATTTGATAAAACAAAATTTGAAGCCATTACTTCTAACAATATTAAATTGAAACCTGGATATTGGAGACCTCATCAGGAATCTGATTTAGTGAATGATTGCTTCAAAAATATTGAATCATGCAAAGGTGGTTGGGCTGTTGGTGATGATATTTGTTAAATTGGGCATGTTGGAGGATTGTGTGAAGAGTGTGATAAGCAGAATACTAGAGGAGATGGATATTATTTTAAAAATGATCAATTTACTTGTTTAAATTGTAGCAATTTTTCTATTAACATATTATCTTTGGTTCTCATAACAATTTGGTAATAAATTAATTCTACAATAGGGTCTTTCTATCAGCTTTTATAACATTAACTAGTGTATAGAAAACTAATTAACTCTTTGCTTCATTAAAACTCACTTAAAATTTTGCTCATATCCTATTTAAGATGAATATAAGTATTTGTTTAAAAAATATTATTTTTAGATTAAGAGAGTATTTTATTAAAGTTATTGCTTAATTACATTTGGATATTTTCTGTAATTTTTACTTTTAACATTCAATTCTCTTTTTCATTTATTTTTGTTAATTAGATGAGTGATACATCATATTTCCTTACTCGTAATTTAGATTGTGAAATTTCATAATCATTTGAAATAGAATTAATATATATTAGAGTATTAGGAATGTTTACTCTAATCAGTTTATAAATCTTTGTTATTTAATTAACAGTTAACATTTTTATTATGCTTACAAAAGGAAAATTCAGTAGTAACATATCTTCAATTACAATAATTTATTTATATGTATAAAACTATGCTGCATTAATCAATTAGTATGATTTTATAATGATTTAAGGCTTTTTTCAATTTTGGCCAAAAGGGAAATCTCTAATATTGATTACGTTTAAGGAGATGTATCTCTCCTATTTGACTCATTTAATCATTAGGCATGGATTTATAAGTTTGCTTTACCACTTTGATTACTGATAAGGTTAATTTTCCCCATATCATTACTTTTATTTTTGAATAGATCATAAAATAAACTTGATTCATGCAAGAAAAGAAATTTTTTTGATAAAATATAATTCAGAAGACATATTGGCTATTTATTTAATGAATATAACGCCAACAGCTCTTTTTTTGGGAATGGGTTAAATTATGGAAGAAAACCATTATTATAGTTATTTTGATATACTTTGAAACTAATATATTTTTAAAAGGAATCCTGATTGCAATGTGCTTAATGATCTATTAAATAATCACATCATCATATTTGCCTTACATTTATTCAAAATTAAATAAATTGGATTTGAGTTCAGGATAATTTTGTACAATAGCCATTTCTTAGCAGCTGTTTAATACATTTGTGAATAGTAAGGAGATAAATCTTAGCAAAAATTCTGTAAATCTAATAGTCCTTATGTGCTTTAAATTTAGTTTTCCATATCTTTTTAAGATTGTCTCTTCTTCTAATGAAAAATACAAATAATATTTTTTGACATACCACACAATTATTTTGAAAAAAATTTATCTTTAATGAAGTTTTATCAAGAAATTCAATGATAAAATAGATAAATGGAGATACAGATAAATAAAATTAAACCACTACGCAAAATAAAAAGTGTTGAAATAATGAAATCGATGGATGAAAATGAGATATAACTATATAACCTATATTTAATCAGAAAAATTATATAGTATTATTATATAAATTATATATTTTTATATAAGATTCTATAATAATAAAAATTGATATCAATTTAAATATCAAATTTTTATTTACACCTAGTTTCTGATCCAAATAGTGTTATTTTAAGGAAATATCTACTAATTTTTATATTGTGCATAGACTTTTTTAAGATTATATTTTAAAAAACTATATTCAGAATAGTAAAAAATATAATTTCACAAATTCAATTAATAATCCAAGATTTTTTAGATTCCTTATTTTTTTAAAAATCAAAATTGAATAATTATCAAATTAGAATCCATATACTTTTGAAAAATAAATATATAAATAAGTAATTTCGTTTTAATATTTATAAATGTAAAAAATTGAATAGAAACTTAGAGCAATCAAGAGAATCATAAATAAAGTAATAGCATTTAATTACTAAAGGGGGATATTATTTTAATTGTATTCTGATTTTTAAGAATAATTTATAATAAATTGTGATTAGATAATTAAACACCTTATTTATAGTAATTAGTGATTCTAATCTGAGCTTCATTTCATTCAATCCAAAATTAATATCTATGTTCATTAAATAGAGTTAAATATATAAGTATAAAAACTAATTTATATTTTTTATGAATAATTATCATGAAGGCTTGATATATTTTGCAAACTAAAACTTGATGACTAAATGTTTTTACCTTAAAACCATTCAAACAAGGTTAGGAAGTAGTAAACTCTTGTAATACTCCTGAAAAATAGTTTGGACCTTTAAATTTCACAATAATACCAGGACCCATTAGAATTGATTTGATTTCATAAGGAATACTAGTTTGCTTCTTTGTTTATTCACCTTAACATATTTAAAATAATGTTCCAGTATAATTACATTCGCTATAAAAGTTAACACAAGGGACAGAAAGCCTTAAAATAAAGTCTCTAAATCCCCATGATTCTAACAATCATAAAATTTATACCATCCCAAGAATCTTAGTCAAACTTATCTTTTAATTATATTGTTAAATCAGATCCTGTTATTGAAAATTTTAATGAAAGGGGAATTAGTAAATCTTAAAATTCGCCATTTCTACAAGTAAAAGTTCCTTAATATGCTGATACTAAAAGAGTTTATATTAATATATCATTTGCATAAATCTCAAATCCTTCTGAATCCCAAGAGTCAAGTTTCCAAATACCAATTGAAAGTTCCATTTATTTGTTTGGTGGAATATTTATAAATGTTTTGGTTACTCTAGTTAACTATCCATACGGTCCCATAAATAAATTTTTAGCTTGTGAGCCACATCTATCTAATGTTGAACCACTCATTCCAGCAATAGAGAAATCTGTATATCTACAATTAGCAGTATTGTCTGTAATACAATTTTCGTAAATTATCGATTTTAGAAATAAAATTTTTAGAAAGGTAATAACAAATGCCATTTTAATTATTATTAAAATTGAATCTAATATTAACATTAGTTTTTTGATTAAACGAAAAAAGCACATATTGTAATTCTAAAAATACACCAAACATTATTATTAGATTGTTTAAAAGGGGTGATAAAAGACAAAATACGAAGAAAAATTTAACATAGTCTTAAAAAAGAAATCATAGGGGAATATCCATAATGTTCAAATTAATCTAATGATTATAATTTATGTTGAATTTTTTTTAACAGTAAATTATATTGAGTTAGAAAATATTAAAAATTTTTCTTTTTCTAATCTTCATTAAGAAATGTATTTACCATATATAAAAATATCATTTTCATTATACCTCATTCTAAACCTTATCTAATAGAATATAACTTTATTTTAGGAAGGTTAAAATATTACATAAGAGAAATCCTATCAAATTTTTACATCATTACTAATAAAAAGTATAGTTAAAGTTAAATAATGGGAAAATAAAATTGGAGATATTTAGGTATAAAATAAAATTATTCAAATTAATTATTCAACATTTCTTCATAATTTAATTGAATTAACAGGCTTTTATAAATTCCATTAATTTTGGCGGTGATCAGTACAATACCAACTCGATAACAAAAAATATCTTTCCCATTTTTGAGTTATTTTCATTAAATTTTTTATGTTTGATATTGCGATTATTTTTTTTGAATTTCAAGCATTTTTTAGAAATGATATAAATATTTTAATAATTTGATCAATTCGTTTAATCTGATTTTTAAATATCCTACTTCAGGTTTTTTAATTTTTTCTTTAATTATATTTCTATAATGACATTTATTTTTAACATATTATTCGAATATTAAAAAAATAAGAATGCTGTCACAAATAAACTTGAGTTAAATTAAAAAATTAATTAATATTCAAAAAATATTATCTGACTTTTATGAAAATGTATTTGAAAAAAGAGTAACTTTTTTTTATAAAATGATTAGGAACATAAAGTTCGATAAAAAATAATATTATTCTTAAATTCATTGATTTTTCATCAGCTTATAAGAACAAGAATTTTCTAAATTTTTCTTTCAAACTGAAATATAGAGAAATCAACAATAAAATTATCTTTCGAAAATGGATTTACCATAAATAGTATCCTACTTCAATTTTTATTTGATATTTACACCAACTTGTTTATAAAAGGTCATATTAAAACCAAAGCAAATATTTAATATCAACTTCTTTCTGCTGATTTAATGGCATTTCTTTTTAATAAAAAATGACAACTGAAAATTCTTAATATTTAAAAATAAAACAAAAAAGACCACAATTGAAAAATGATTTAGTAACTTCATAAAGTATTCCATATTAATTTTTAGAATTATCAAAGATAAATTAGAAAAAACTAAAGATCTAATCTAATTAAGGATGAATTGTAAATTAAATTTATTTGAGATTTAAAGAGAGGAAAGAAATTAAAAATCTTAGTGAATTTATAATAATTATTTTATTATCCCTGAGATATTGTACCCAACTTATTTAAGTATTAAATTATTGAGATCAAGATGAAATTTATTATGTCTTCAAATGAACAAAGATATATTTCTAATAAGAAGATGAAATTTACTTTGTTAATACTCAGAAAGTTAGTGGAGTTGTCTATCTTTATAACTGGATTTTAGGTACTAATCTTAAAAAGAGAAAGACAAAATTACAAAATAGTGCTGAAAGTAAAATAAATTTATATGTTAACATACTAAAACCGATTAGTGATACTAATGTAATTCATTCTCCTGTTAAGATGTACATCATACTTCATAATTGATGCGATTGGATAATACAAGAACGATAATAAATCAAAGTTCAAAAGTAAATTTATAAATCTTACTGAATAAATAATATGTTCATCTTATAAAGAAATTAGAGAATGATTATAATTTCTCAGTAAAATTGGATAATTGTAAAATCTTATTATAAATTCATTATTTTCTGATTATTTGAATTTTGTTTTTTTACATTGAGTTTAATGATTAGATTTCTGAAAAATTGTAAAAATTAAAGATCTGACTTCAAGTCTCATTTAAGCTTGATTAAAAAAATGGTTCAATTAATTTGCTCTGAAATACTAAAAAGCTATTGGCCTCTTTTATCATAATAAGAAAAATCTTATTTAATATGTTTTCTAATATTAATCAAATTTAAGAATATTTTATAAATATTATAAACCTTTTAGAACATGAACAATTTTTAAATATAACTCAAATGATGATTTCAAATGGTCAATTCTTGATTAAATGAAAAATTCATAATTATTTCGAAATAAATACTTAAAATTAAATATTCTATTTATTTAGTAATTATTATATTGAATTGAATTTAAAAAGGTTTATTTGATTAAATTGAAGTATTAAGTGTAAATACCTGATAAATAATTATCTAAACTTAATTATATCTTGAATTAAAAAATAATAAACTCTTTATAAATTTCCTCAATAAAAATAATTTCAAACTTGTATTTGATTTTATTTAAATTAATAATTATGATTTATATTATAAGGAATGAGAAAATAATGGATTTAGCAAAGGAATGAGCAAGTTAATAACTTTACAATTAATAGAACAAACTATGATTAAATAATAAGGCATATAAATATTCTAATAAAGTTCTTAACATAAAAGAAAATAGAAGGTTTTAATAATTAAATAATTGCATTTAGTATTATTTGGATTACTATAGAATAATAATAAATAAAAGTATAAAATTATTATCTCTAAGTTACTTTGAGTGAATACAAAGAGTTAAAAAATTCATATTTTCTCTTTTCTTTGGGGTTATACCAACTTCTTTGTTTTAAATAAATTATTCTATTGTTAGATTTCCCTTAATCTTATAAGCAAGATTTGAACTACATTTCTCGAATTTTTTATATATATTAAAATTATCACATTTATTAACTTAAATTATTTCTTAATTCATAAATAATTAAAATATAAAATAGATAAGATGTTTAATATTAACTGTCCTTAATAAAACCATCAATCATAAGTTGATTTCTTTTGTATCAATCCTTTTTGCAAAGATCCTAGATTTTTTTGTTTTGAATAATGTTTTCAAGTCAATTCATTACATTAGCATGATAGAAAATACATAAATAAAATTGAATTATTACCAGGTTATTTAATAGATTTCTCTGATTAATTTAATTCATTAGAGTAAGAGTTAAAATAGTTAATTTAACTCATTATGGAGCTTTTCCATTAACTTCAAAATTAAATATAAAAAAGATTTTAATGGAATCTAAAAAAATTAATGGATTTAGGAGGAAAACAAATTGAAATTGTCTTAAATAATATGATAAATTTTAATGATTATTAAAGAGGGCTACTTGAAAATATAAATACTTCTTCTGGTCAATTAATAAAAAATTTAAGATCTTAAATTTAAGAGTTAGAAGTAGATGATGTATAATTATTTTATAAGCTTGTAGATGANTATCATAATAAGAAAAATCTTATTTAATATGTTTTCTAATATTAATCAAATTTAAGAATATTTTATAAATATTATAAACCTTTTAGAACATGAACAATTTTTAAATATAACTCAAATGATGATTTCAAATGGTCAATTCTTGATTAAATGAAAAATTCATAATTATTTCGAAATAAATACTTAAAATTAAATATTCTATTTATTTAGTAATTATTATATTGAATTGAATTTAAAAAGGTTTATTTGATTAAATTGAAGTATTAAGTGTAAATACCTGATAAATAATTATCTAAACTTAATTATATCTTGAATTAAAAAATAATAAACTCTTTATAAATTTCCTCAATAAAAATAATTTCAAACTTGTATTTGATTTTATTTAAATTAATAATTATGATTTATATTATAAGGAATGAGAAAATAATGGATTTAGCAAAGGAATGAGCAAGTTAATAACTTTACAATTAATAGAACAAACTATGATTAAATAATAAGGCATATAAATATTCTAATAAAGTTCTTAACATAAAAGAAAATAGAAGGTTTTAATAATTAAATAATTGCATTTAGTATTATTTGGATTACTATAGAATAATAATAAATAAAAGTATAAAATTATTATCTCTAAGTTACTTTGAGTGAATACAAAGAGTTAAAAAATTCATATTTTCTCTTTTCTTTGGGGTTATACCAACTTCTTTGTTTTAAATAAATTATTCTATTGTTAGATTTCCCTTAATCTTATAAGCAAGATTTGAACTACATTTCTCGAATTTTTTATATATATTAAAATTATCACATTTATTAACTTAAATTATTTCTTAATTCATAAATAATTAAAATATAAAATAGATAAGATGTTTAATATTAACTGTCCTTAATAAAACCATCAATCATAAGTTGATTTCTTTTGTATCAATCCTTTTTGCAAAGATCCTAGATTTTTTTGTTTTGAATAATGTTTTCAAGTCAATTCATTACATTAGCATGATAGAAAATACATAAATAAAATTGAATTATTACCAGGTTATTTAATAGATTTCTCTGATTAATTTAATTCATTAGAGTAAGAGTTAAAATAGTTAATTTAACTCATTATGGAGCTTTTCCATTAACTTCAAAATTAAATATAAAAAAGATTTTAATGGAATCTAAAAAAATTAATGGATTTAGGAGGAAAACAAATTGAAATTGTCTTAAATAATATGATAAATTTTAATGATTATTAAAGAGGGCTACTTGAAAATATAAATACTTCTTCTGGTCAATTAATAAAAAATTTAAGATCTTAAATTTAAGAGTTAGAAGTAGATGATGTATAATTATTTTATAAGCTTGTAGATGAAAGTATAGAAATATGAACTTTTACGTTCTGTTCATTTATAGGAGAATAAATCTCAATGCAAAATAATTTAATTTAATCAAGATTCTTCAATTATTGCAATGGATGTTTCAAATCGAATTAAAATCTATGGATTTAACAAGGGATAATTGCAGTTGTTACATGTGATTGATCTTTTCGAAATAAATCAAATTAATTACTTAAAATTTTTTTAATCCTCTGATGAGTTTTTACTTGGAAGTGAGTTTGGGGACATAATGCTTTGGAAAAAGAATGAAAGATAATAATTTAGTTATTAATTTATCAGAAGGAGAAATATTTGGGAATTTATTTCTTCATCTCCATAGTATAATCTTCTTATTAACGATTAAGAAGATCTAATTGTTCAATCAAAAGATAATTAATTAAAATTGTATGAGAAACAATAAGAGTGGAACTGCACATAAACTATAATAAATCAATCAAAAATCATGAGTTATTGTTTAAATTAATCATCTAATATGTTGATTTCTTCTTGTTAAGATAATATTGTAATTTATTTAAAATAAAAAAAATAAGTTTGGAAATAGATATAAACAATTGATTTAGATTAATGGGGGTATCGAATATGCTTCGTTGATGATAATCATTTTGCTTTTCAACCAAGATGCAAAGATTATCTATAGATTTATGGTTTGAATAATTAAAGTAAAAATTTTGAACTTAAAAATAATGTATAAGTAAAATCAGCAAGCAATGTTTGCCATAATTATTTTCCCTTATAATATATAAAAAATAAAAACATTATAATTAATAAGAATGGTAGATACATTAATATAATTAAAATATCACCAGAAGGAGATTATGAAACCTTATAATTTATTAAATTTGGAGATTAACTGATCTATGGCACCATAACGAATGATGGGGAATATTTAATTACATGGGATAATAAATCTACTGAATTACAAATAAGATAATTTTAAGAATGATATTATTACATTTAATTTATTTTTAGATTATATTTGAGAATCCGATTAAAACAATTAAAATTAGATTGATAAGTTTTGTTTTTACTTTTTTAATTAATAATTAAAACTAAGAAAGAGTAATACAAATATTATATGTAAATTTAAGCCAAATTGTTTTTTTATTTTCCTTTATAAAAATAATGGAAATTTGGTAGTTTTATATTTTCAATAAATCAAAGTTATTAGTATACTAATTAAAAATGGTATATTTATTCGCTTATCTAATGCACTAATCAAAATTAAGAGTACTCTAAATGCTAAATTTAGAATTTCAAATTTATGTAAGTTTTTTTTATGTAATTTAATTTAATAATAATATTGATTTCATGTAAATTTTCACTAACTTTAATAAACAGCATTCTCTAATTAAAATTTTTTAATTTTCCTATATTCTAATAAATAATATAAATTAAACTAATCCATTATTACAAAATATTTAATAAATTAAATGTAATAATATCATTCTTAAAATTATCTTATTTGTAATTCAGTAGATTTATTATCCCATGTAATTAAATATTCCCCATCATTCGTTATGGTGCCATAGATCAGTTAATCTCCAAATTTAATAAATTATAAGGTTTCATAATCTCCTTCTGGTGATATTTTAATTATATTAATGTATCTACCATTCTTATTAATTATAATGTTTTTATTTTTTATATATTATAAGGGAAAATAATTATGGCAAACATTGCTTGCTGATTTTACTTATACATTATTTTTAAGTTCAAAATTTTTACTTTAATTATTCAAACCATAAATCTATAGATAATCTTTGCATCTTGGTTGAAAAGCAAAATGATTATCATCAACGAAGCATATTCGATACCCCCATTAATCTAAATCAATTGTTTATATCTATTTCCAAACTTATTTTTTTTATTTTAAATAAATTACAATATTATCTTAACAAGAAGAAATCAACATATTAGATGATTAATTTAAACAATAACTCATGATTTTTGATTGATTTATTATAGTTTATGTGCAGTTCCACTCTTATTGTTTCTCATACAATTTTAATTAATTATCTTTTGATTGAACAATTAGATCTTCTTAATCGTTAATAAGAAGATTATACTATGGAGATGAAGAAATAAATTCCCAAATATTTCTCCTTCTGATAAATTAATAACTAAATTATTATCTTTCATTCTTTTTCCAAAGCATTATGTCCCCAAACTCACTTCCAAGTAAAAACTCATCAGAGGATTAAAAAAATTTTAAGTAATTAATTTGATTTATTTCGAAAAGATCAATCACATGTAACAACTGCAATTATCCCTTGTTAAATCCATAGATTTTAATTCGATTTGAAACATCCATTGCAATAATTGAAGAATCTTGATTAAATTAAATTATTTTGCATTGAGATTTATTCTCCTATAAATGAACAGAACGTAAAAGTTCATATTTCTATACTTTCATCTACAAGCTTATAAAATAATTATACATCATCTACTTCTAACTCTTAAATTTAAGATCTTAAATTTTTTATTAATTGACCAGAAGAAGTATTTATATTTTCAAGTAGCCCTCTTTAATAATCATTAAAATTTATCATATTATTTAAGACAATTTCAATTTGTTTTCCTCCTAAATCCATTAATTTTTTTAGATTCCATTAAAATCTTTTTTATATTTAATTTTGAAGTTAATGGAAAAGCTCCATAATGAGTTAAATTAACTATTTTAACTCTTACTCTAATGAATTAAATTAATCAGAGAAATCTATTAAATAACCTGGTAATAATTCAATTTTATTTATGTATTTTCTATCATGCTAATGTAATGAATTGACTTGAAAACATTATTCAAAACAAAAAAATCTAGGATCTTTGCAAAAAGGATTGATACAAAAGAAATCAACTTATGANCTATTTTTGCTGCTTATTTCATATTAAATACAACAGAATAAAAATGTTTGTAGAAGGGAAATTATTTTAAATTAACACACATATAAAAATAAATGAAGGTAAAAGTTGGACTAAATGAAAATGATAATAATACTATTAAAATTTCTTTGAAAATAAAATATCTGTTTGCACATATATATCTTTATAAAATAAGAGATTGGATCCTTTAAAAAACTAGAAAATAGGGATTACTATGGATTAATGATTTAGTAAAGTATGAAAAAAATTAATTATTGGGTTTGATGTGATCCTCATTTAAATCTCAAGAGTATTTATGACATAAATAGTATTTTGATAAAAGATATAAATAGAAGGGTTTTAAATTTTTCTGATTATCAAATAATATAGAATAATGGATACCTAAATCCTTAAGGATATAATTTAATTGAAATGAAATAATTTTGATACCTAAATTAAGTTAAATATGTGATAAAATTTAATAAATTTTATGTAATGTTATTTGGGAATATGAATATATTAAACATTATTAATAGAGTTTTTTAGTGGAATATACAATATTTATATTTGTATATTCTACAATAAAAAAGAAACTTAATTATTAATTGTAATCCTCATTTTTTAATCTAAGGGTAGTTAATTCGTTTAGTTTAGTTTTAGATATGTTTTGTTGAGTCTTCCAAATATTTTTTAGAAATTAGAATATTATTTTTTTTAATAAATTCTTCCATTTATAGGCCTATTTCTTCACCATTATTAATGACTAATAAAGCATTTAATTAATTACTGATTGTTTCTCCACAATAATAATATAAATCTGATAATTAGATCCATTCTCATTTGTATTATCTATTACATAAAATA